GGTATGTCAGGGCTTTCTCCTCCCCCTTGGAGGGGTTTCTCTAACATGCCACTGCTGATAAAGGTTTAAGGTACGGCTCCTTCTGAGGATATTTTAAGTTTCAATGGAGAAATCCAAACTCAGAGAAAGGAAGGTGGGGAATGAAGGAATGAATGCAGTTTGGGGCTCGCCTCAGGGTGAAGATGCCAAGCTTGAGCCTCTGTCGAGGATACTGGCTACTGTGTCTCAGGGTCCCCCCACTGGAGCATGGAATCCAACTGTGGCTGTTTGCTCGGTAACTTGGTCATGCACTGTGTTCCATGAATTGCAGGTGAGGCGATGTCCAATCTTGAACCTAGAAATTCACTGAAATAAAGGGAGGGGGCCATAGTGCACCATTTCAGTATTTCTTACCTGTGAAACTTACCATTAATGCTCCTTCCACCTCCTAACCAAGGTTCCCAAATCAACCTGCACAACCTGCACACCTGCACACATTCAGAAGCATTATAAAAGCCTGCAACGCATCGATGCAGCGGGTTCTGAAAATAGCAGCAGAAGCCACAAACCAAAGAACAGACCTTTGTGAACGGAGTGAAAGAAGCTGTTTGTCCTGAGTTCATCGTTTAAGCTACATACGACTCCCCACGATTACTAAAGTAACATCTTTAGGCAAAGATAGGGATCAACCCGAGGAAAGTAGAATGTCTTAATACGTTGGGTTTTCATTTTCCTGTTAAGTCTCCAGGGTTCTGATTTTCTTTTTTTTTTTAATTAAAAAAATGTTTATTTATTTTTGAGAGAGACAGACAGAGCACGAGTGGGGGGAGGGACAGACAGAGAGGGAAACACAGAATCTGAAGCAGGCTCCAGCACAGGGCTCGAAGAGGGGCTTGAACCTATGAACCGTGAGATCATGACCTGAGATGAAGTCAGACACTTAACTGACTGAGCCACCCAGGCGTCCCAGGCCCTACTTTTCCAACCAGAGCCCCAGGGAGTGGGAACTTACACGAAGGCAGGTAGTGGAGCCATTGCAAAGCACAGGTTTGACGGCATTAGCAGAGGCCAGGCTCCAGTGAAGTATATAAACCAGGGGATGAATCTTTGATGATGAATGGGTTCGCAGCATAAGAACCCATGCACTCCAGGTGTTACCTGACCCTGGACGCCACCCACATGAACATGGCTTCACTCCCACTGTAGTCCCAGTGCACCCACCTTTCTCAAACCGTTACTCATTTTCCAAGCGATATTGAATCTATCTCCTCCGCCTAATTAACTGCTACTCAGGCAGATCAGTCAGTTTCAGAAACTTCTCCATTAGACTTGAGTCTAAACCACACAACTTCCTGAGCAGTTTCACACGTGGAGCTACCTTCCCAGCCAACGCAGCACTTTTCTCGCATCAAGACTATCAAGAGATCAGACTCGAAAATACAAAGCACAAACTGGTGGTTGCCAGAGGGGAAGCGGGTTGGGGGATGGGATGGACAAAACGGGGGAAGGGGAGTGGGAGGTACAGGCTTCCAGCTATGGAATGAATAAGTCAGGGGATGAAAGGTACAGCATTGGGAACACAGTCAATGGTACCGTAATAGTGTTGTATGATGACAGATGGTAGCTCCACTCGTGGTGAGCACAGCATAATACAGAGGGTTGTTGAATCACTATGCTGTACATCTGACATTAATGGAACGTTGTGTGTTGACTATACTTCAATTAAATAAATAAATGTAAAAGAGAATATCAAGAGATACTGTTGGCAGTCAGACACAGTCCAGTCTGTGTGTTTTTGAGCGGCACCAAAGTCCTACTTTAATCTACCCTGACCGTGTTTAGCCGTTCTCTGCCCAGTATTAGTGATTCCAAGGCTAGAAAATTACACAAAGTTCCTGCAGGGTTTAAGGTAGGCTGACAGATAAAAAGTCAGAGGGCAAGGGAACAGAGTGTAGCAGATGACTGAGAAGAAAAGGTAGCAGCGGGCAGAAAGAGGCTCTTTTTACACCTAAAGCCCAAAGCCCAAGTCAAGTGCCCCAAAGATGGAATCAAAACTCTTCTTGTTGCTTGGAAATGCCTCAGAAATGCCAAAGGAAGGTTTTAGTGGATCATTTAATATATCTGTTCCTCATCCCAAAAGATAAGTGAAATACCATTCCAGTGACTCAGCCTTTTCCAGTTTTAAATACATTCAGTGTAATGGAAGAGATGGGAAGTTCCTTTTCTCTTACCCTTTAAAGATGAAGCCAAGCAAGGTGGAGGTTAGTGCAAGGGCGGAGGGGTGGTGGTGGTGGGGTGCTGGACCCTGGCAGGGCCTCTGTGTGAGGCGGGGAGCTGTGGCAATAGTGACTTGGTGTGGGTGTCAGAATATATGAGGGTACTGGCCCCCATATATTGAGGACCACAGGAGTTTGGGATTGTTGCAAAAGGAAACTAAAGTACAGAGAAGAATAAAAACTAGAATAAATCTTGTGTTGGATCGGTACCAAAGGCAGTGATCTGAACTGATAGTTTTCTTTCTTTCTTTTTTTTTTTTTTAATGTTCATTTATATTTGAGACAGAGACAGAGACAGAGACAGAGCGTGAGCAGGGAAGGGGCAGAGAGGGAGACACAGAATCTGAAGCAGGCTCCAGGCTCTGAGCTGTCAGCACAGAGCCTGACGCGGGGCCCAAACCCGTCACCCGTGAGATCATGACCTGAGCCAAAGTCAGATGCTCAACCGTCTGAGCCACCCAGGCGCCCCAGAACTGATGGTTTTCAACATGCAGTAGTATAAAAATACAGATGCAAGTATGTGTGTGTGTACCTACAAGCAAATATCTTGGCGCTCCATCCACTCAGGGGGCTGGGAACGGGCACACACCAGGAGCAATGAGCACACTCAGCTTGGTTTCTAAATACCTTTCTGCACTAAAAGAAACCAGCACCTCTTGGGGGGAATTGCTGGATTCAGAAACTGTAAAATAAGCTTGGAACAACTTGTGCTTGAAGTGCTCTGAGAATCGTGGGGACAGTCACAAGATCACAGAAGCATTTGAAGAGGCTCCCACTGGCCAAATCTGGGGTAACAGGAGCACCAATGCCAGTAGATGTAATAATCACTAAATAAAACAGAAATCTGAATCCAGATTAAGAGAAGTAAATGAATAGGAAAAAAAAGCTTTCCTTACAGAACCAATATATGGAGAAAAAATGGTAGGGTTAGGAGACACTCACAGGCTACCATCATAGTAATTCAGCCAAGAAATTGGAACACAGATGCCAAATGGAGGGTAAAGATTGATGAGGAATGGGTGATTTACCCGATTTCAAAGCATTACCCTATGAAATGCTTATTAGTAACTTTTCAGTGGAGAAAAACAGCAGATACCACCTCAATGAAGTGTTCAAGGTTAACATTACCAATAACAGGGTAATTCAAAATCGATTCCCTGATAGAATGTAATGGGAAGAGCACAGCATCACTCAGTGTTCCTGCCAGAAATGTCACTTGAACCAAATCATGAGAAAGCATCGACGAACCCAAACGAGGGACAGTCTGCAAGATAGCCTGTGATCTTCAAATGTCAAGGCCATTGAAACACGCCTGGGTTGTTCAGAGTATAGGGGACTGAGATATGACTACTAAATGCAACTTTTTTTTCTGGTGATAGGTTATTGGGACCATTGGGAAAACGTGGTTATCTGTGGATGTTTTCAGATTTCTACTTCTGATGGATTTATTTGGTGATAGAATGTCTTGGGGTGCCTGGGTGGCGCAGTCGGTTGAGCGTCCGACTTCAGCCAGGTCACGATCTCGCGGTCCGTGAGTTCAAGCCCCGCGTCGGGCTCTGGGCTGATGGCTCAGAGCCTGGAGCCTGTTTCCGATTCTGTGTCTCCCTCTCTCTCTGCCCCTCCCCCGTTCATGCTCTGTCTCTCTCTGTCCCAAAAATAAATAAACGTTGGAAAAAAAAAAAAAAAAGAATGTCTTTAGTTATAGGAATTATACATGAAAATATGCAGGAGAGTTGGGACATCACCTTGCAACCTATTCTTAAAAACTATTCTGAAAAGAAAATGGACTATTCTTGCAATATTCTTGGTAATTGGTACTTTTCTTTACGTTTGAAATTTAAAAAAAAAAAATTGCTTGTTTCTTATCACATTTCCACATGTAATACAATGATAAAAAGCAATTATGGGAATATTTGAGTTGAACATGCAAAACATAGGAAGAACTGAAAATTCTTTATTTGGTAAAAATTAAGAATACATTGTATAACTTATGAACCACCAAGAGGGAAACATGTAGGAGTGGTAACTGAAAAAAAGCAGAACATAAAAAAAGCAATACTGATGATGATCATTTTCAGTTGTACAGTCATGTGGCTAAAATAAAGTTCTCTCAATTCCTTTTGTGTCAAACAGTTAAGGGCACAATAAAAAAAACGAGACAAGTTTGCTAAATGTCAAGATCTTTTTTTCCCATTACTTATTTATTTTTTAAAATTTACATCCAAGAAAAGTCTAGATCGTTTTACTGTTTGAGAAATAGGTTACTTAGAGGGGGAACAGTGTCTAAAATTCCACAGAACTAGAGTTAAGTGGAGATCATGACTAAATAAACACGTAACAAGGACATGTTCTGATTCTCTTTAAAGCAGTAATTTTTTTTAATTGTTTATTTTTGGGGGGGGAGGGAGGGAGGGAGACAGAGCGCCAGTGGGGGAGGGTCAGAGAGAGAGGGAGACACAGAATCTGAAGCAGGCTCTAGGCTCTGAGCAGTCAGCACAGAGCCTGATGTGGGGCTTGAACTCGTGAACTGAGAGATCATGACCTGAGCCGAAGTCAGATGCTTAACTGAGCCACACAGGTGCCCCTGAGTCAGGAAAATATCCAAAGAAAGAGGATTCTTCTTGACGTGCTTCTCGCTGAACAAGACCTTTATTCACCGTGTATATCAACTGCCTAGTCCAGATATTTGAACTCCGAAATAATTTAATGCAACTCACAGTCAGATGATACTTTATCATGTATAATACTTCCACATGGAAATAAATTCTTGACGCCTTTTGAATTCACGATTCCCATGAAATTTTAGTTATGATAAATTACAAAATGGCAAGAAAGATTCTTTGATATCTCAAAGTAAGAAAAAACTTAGGAAAGTACATATTAAAGGCCTTCCCAAATTGGAAGGACAATTATTAGAATCTTGATAAAAAGCAATTTTTTCTAGGTTTAAGGTTCAAGTCTGAATCCTTGGACTTTCCCACATGTTCTTTTTAAAAAGCTCCAATGAGCTCACGCGTCAGGAGCAGGTGCCACTCAGCCAGCGCTGGACAGAAGAGGCTTGCGGTATTTGCACTGAATCCAGACTCGGTACATGGTCAGCTGTTTCCCTCGGTTCACTTGCAATCGGCGATCCACCAGGTTCTGAACCTTTTCCAGTCCAGCCGTAGTGAAAAGTGTATCCAGCTCATCTGGTTCGGAAAAGAGATGTTTACATATTTTCTGCTAAAGAAAAAACATGGTCCACCACTTCCTATATTAAATGGGGCTCCGTGAGACTGTTTTTATTTATGTATTACAAGTGGCTTCAGCAGGGCTGTTTATTTAGAAGTGTAGGAGCAGCTTGGTAATATTAAGTTCATGTTTAAATGGGGGAAGCCAAACCTTCTGGCAAGGGCCCCTTGGAATCCAGAGGGAGAGCCTTAGAGCTGACAGGGAAGAATTTTCAAGGGCTTTATGGACACCTTAAGGTTATATGCAAAATTTCTATGCACGTAATGTCAAAGCCACTTTTTTAGCAGAGAGTTTCCACTATATTTTAATCAACAGCTCAAAGAAGTATGTGGCACAATAAAGGGCCCAAGGATGGCACTGGTGGGGGAGGAACCCCGAGGCAGGGCAAGCCGCAGAGCAGGGCAATTCTGGATTACACCTGGGAGCCGGGGCACGGGGAGCACAGCCTAATTCTGGCGCACCTACAGGACAACCCGGCTTACAGGGCAAAACCAGCTGCCCTGGGGTCTTGCCGAATGGGCAGGTTTTCCATTTGGGACAAAGCGACAGGGAGGAAGCACAGACAGTCGAGGAGCAAAGCAGAGGACTGAAGGCTCCTGTAAGTGGAGCCCGTGTGGAGAACAGTGAACCGTTCAGGTGGCCTGGAAAGGCAGGAAAAGTCTTCAAAAGGCAGAAGGGGCATGACAGTTTTACTTCCGAGACTGTATCAAGCAACATTTGATCTGGTGTTTGGGGGACTGTTAGCATGAAGAAAGAGGAGCGTTTCCATACCTTGTGTGAAGAAGTAAACTCTAGTACCATCGCCTCTCACGTAGAAATTTTCAGACAGACACTGACCTGTGGGGCGATGTGATAAACATCAGAGAGACTTTAAAGCACTTCCTTGAATTTCACTGCCAATCAAACGTACATCGTGATACCATTTCTTGGGCAGAGAACAGAATCCTTTCTTGGTTGCTCTGGGCACGTTGCAGGAATCTTCGAAGAGGACCCCAAGGGGAGTGATCGAAATGCAGTGTTACGTCACACATGTGAACCTCAGCCTTCTGTTCTAGAGTTGTTTCGTGTTGGAAGGTGTTTTCCCCCCTCCCTGACTACATAAATACCACATACTCTTTGTAAAACAAAAGTAAATAAATAAAAGCCAGGGACCATAGCTGAGTCTGAGGAAAGGAAACTTGAGATAGACACCATGACCATTTCCCATGTCTGTCCACGTGCCCACACTCGTTCACAAGTACAAGACATATGCTGTTTTGGTTACGGACGCTCTCCCTTCAGCCGCCAAGCCCTCTGACCTAACGTCAATTTACCAACCTGGTACGTCGCCCCTCTGTACCTTCTGAATGCCAATATGATCTTACTTGCTTCACTTCTGCTTATTTCTCTCCAGCTACTCTTACATGTGGGGTCAACTTTAAAATACTTGTCTGTACACTGCTCTTCTCATCTGGGAATGCAGAACGGAAACCCTTCCAAGACCAACAGTAAGGGATCTACCCCACGCGGCAGGCACAAGATTCCCCTCTCCAGAGGCATTCACTTGGTTTTCGAGATTTTGCTTACATATGTATTACATGCTAGTTCTTGAGGAATTCCCGAAAGGACTGTTAGACTGAGTCAATAGCCCCAGTGTGCTCAAAAAACCCAGTAGGCGCCTGGGTGGCTCAGTCGGTTAAGCACCCTGCTTTGGCTCAGGTCACAATCTAACGGCTCGTGAGTTCAAGTCCCACATCAGGCTCTGTGCTGACAGCTCAGAGCCTGGAGCCTGCTTCGGATTCTGTGCCTCCCTCTCTCTCTGCCCCTCTCCCACTCACATTCTGTCTCTCTCTCCTTCAAAAAAAAAATCTTAAAACAAAAACAAAAACCATTAATGGAGAAGCATAGCTCTTTTCGTGAGTTGGCAGATTAAAGAAGTGGTCATCTCATCCTAATTTTTGTTACCCTCAAGTTTGTTTTTGGTCATTTGGATATGTTCTTCTGGGAATCAAGTCTAAAATTTTCTTCCCTGTGTTTTGGGTGGGTTGCTGATCTTTTCCCTATCAACGTACCAACAGTCCCCGAAGAGCACAGATAATAATGCAGTCTTTATCTGTTCTATGCACCGAAATTATCGGTCTTTAAACTGTTTTAATGGTACCTTTGGCCATACTTTGTTTAAAATTATTCATGTAATCAAATGTCTTTTCTAAAACTAGCTCTTCTAAATGCAGTGGTCTTGGTTTTAAAGATTTGCCCAATACCTAGATCACACAATCTTCAAAAACATACCACCTCTGTCATGTATTAAATGATTTCATATTGGAGCTGTAACTCTAGGTTTCTAATCGATTTCACGGATTTATACATCTATTCGGATGGCCAATCTGTTGTTTTGCTTACAGTAGCAAAATATGTTTTATTTTATTTTATTTTTAAAGTTTATTTATTTATTTGGGGGGGGGGGTGCAGACAGAGGGAGAGACAGAATCCCAAGCAAGCTCTCTGCTGACAGCAGAGAGCCCAATGCAGGGCTCGAACTCATGAACCATGAGATCATGACCTGAACTTTTAAGTTGGACGCTTAACCGACTGAACCCCCCAGGTGCCCCCATGATACCTTTTTTATTTTTTAGTTATTAAAAAAAATTTTTTTAATGTTCATTTATTTTTGAGAGACAGAGATAGAGCACAAGTGGGGGAGGG